TCCGTATTTCTAACACAACACTTATCTTACTAGGCATCTGTATAAAAGCACTTTCCCAGCAAGCACACATAAAATATAATCACAAGGGTTATTAGTTTTCATCACAATAATATTTCCGAAATCAAGACAAAATCACAGAACTATGCTTGCCATTGATAAATGCAGAGTTTTAACAATATGGTTTTCACACAATCTCTTCAAGACTTCCAAATATGTTAATCAGTTCATTTTAGCCGTAACATACAGACATTTCAAAAATATCCTTTAGCACTCTACTCATTGTCGAAGGAGCTAAGAAGATGTCTGAGAGTTCTTCGAACAATCATGACACCGTCTGAAAGGTTGCATCGGGTCACTTATCTATTATCAAACATAGGTATGATAACCAATTTTCGATATAATATGCCTTCGCAAGCATTTAGATTTTGAGATTAGACAGTCTATTTCATAATAGAACATTGTGCACTCTGCATTTGATCACTATCTATCGGTGTCACATTCACTTATTTTCATATTAATACACTTGGTTGATTAGTAATGCTGTCTTTGAATATCCACACTTAATTCAGCATCTGACATACACACGAATAAACTTTAGAATATATGTCTCTCATACAACTGCTAACGTCATTCTTCTATTTTCTGCGTATTTCTAACACAACACTTATCTTACTATGCATCTATATAAAAGCACTTTCCAAGCAAGCACACATAAAATATAATCACATATACGATTTTAGTTATTTCACTTTTTAAGCTACAACTTGTAACTATTTTACAATGCAACTGTATTTAAAAGAAAGCGTTACTTCTACTAATACTACTGAACAAACTATTATTGCTCCAACAATTAGTCCATTAGTACTGTTCAATGTTTACCTTGGAGTCGGAATACTAGCATTTATCTTCTATATTTTTATCATCATTTATGTATCCACTCACAAAAGTCTACGTTCAGCACCAAATAATTATTGTCTTCTTATTCTGTTAATTGTTGAATTTCTTACAAGAATAATAGGCCTACCATTCGATCTTTATTATTATCATGAAGGCGTAGCACTTTTTGAGAATGCTACCTTTTGCTTTATATGGCGGATGATCAATTATAGTGGTTATGGGGCAGGTGTAATGTTAATAGCATGGGCTTCATTTGAAAGACATATTCTTATTTTTCATGATCGTTTTCTTCGTTCAAAATGGAAAAATATATGTTTTCATTATGTACCACCTTTTATTGTTATGGTTTATGTAATTGGTTTCTATATTTATGTATTATATTTTCTCCCTTGCAGCAAGATATTGAATTTTGAAATTTTTGTTTGTGGTGATGATTGCATTAGAAACTATCCAGTTTTGATAGCTTATAGAAGAATTGTTCATCAAATGGGTCCTCCAATATGTATTGGAATATTTAGTGTTTCACTTTTGATTCGTGTTCTTTATTCGAAGAGACGTCTTCAACAAGCATTTAGTTGGCGAAAGCATAGTAAAATGGCTTATCAACTTCTCTCAATATCATTTACCTGTCTTTCAGCTATTTTCCCGTTTGGTTTACTCATATTTTTGAATGAAGTTGGTGTACGTAACATACCAAAGGCGATATCAGACTATTTATATTTTTATTCTACATTAATTCCTTTTTATCTGCCTTTTGTATATGTGACGTCAATACCAGAATTGTGGACCAAAATGAAACGGAAATTTCGCTGTGCAGTTATTCAAACAACGCCTGCGAGAAACATTGCTGCTAGAGAACCGCAAATGAGATTTTGATAGTGTGTTTTGTAAAATTTGTCTTTATAATACCAAGAAAAATGTTTTATTTGTATATTTTTGAACATGACTTGGAATTCTTTAGAATTTGTTTAATATGTGTGAGTATACCACATGTTTCATTTGCCAAACCACCGTAACATATGACGTGCTAGTTGTTCGATGTAATGGTTATCTTCTACATATATATGTATTGCCCATTTGTCTCTGGATCTTGTCTGCTATTTGTAGCGCTATTTTTACTTTCCTCTTTTGCTTTAAACAGTCAGTGTTATTAAATAAAGTTTCTTCTTCTTAAACAAAGCCATGCTATCTACGGAAAAATACTAAACATGGGAGCTACAAAAAGTACTTTTGGCCAACAAGTATGGATATAAGACTATGACATTAGCAGAAAAAAATACGATGAAAGTTTATTTTCCAGCGGGTCAACAGTAGGAGTAATTTGCGAATGATCTTTCTCATATTTTGATAAATCACTAGAAATCGTTGACATTTACATTTTAATGGTAATATTATTCAAGATATTACTTCGAGTTGATAATGGTATTACGATAGCAATTCTCAAAAAGATTTAAAGGTTTAGAGAAGATTTGATTGATTAAATGCATTGCAATGCTAATATTGAGAGTATCATTGTTTTTCGATCGAATGTGGTTGTAGTTGTACGTGTAGCAAACTATTTAATCATAATATAAACTCTTAAACATGACTGACAGCATATTCATGATACGAGGAAAAAAGAAGCGATGAAAATATGATGAATTCTATCGTTCCTGTTGTGAAAAATGTTTTAAATATTTGCACTGGATATTTTTACCAACAGAAGAGTTTTCTTTATTTTCTCTCCTATTCGTTGTATCACATCGGAATTGAATAAGAATTATCTCTCGGTACATTAAAGAAACTTATTAGGGGTTATATTCCAAGAGAGGATAGAAATGTCCTTGATGTTAAATCTTTATTTCAAAAAGAAAAGTCCCTAGATATATCCTATATCATCATCTTATATATACATATATATATATATATGTAGAACAGAAAAAGGTAGAACAACGAAAATATAGATAAAGGAAAGCAAAGATAAGTGATAATGATGATGATATTTCATTACCAGAAATTATGAAATTACATTTTCCGTTGACACAACATTATTTAGATGAACCTCAAGAAAGAATTCATGATACAGGTAATATTTTAAATGAAATTGAAATAATTTCAGATGATGATATTGAACAACATACACCAACAAGACCTTC